TTTCCTGTCTGATTTTGAATGCCTTCCAGTCCGACCCGGGGGGCTCGTCTTCGGCGGGCACCGTGCCAGCGCGCGCTCTGCTGCAGTGCGTCACGTGGTCACTGGCCAGTGTGTGCTGACGTGCTCTTTCAGGCCTTCCCACTTAGTCTCCTGTAGGCTGTAAGCGCCCTGAAACCTGTCACCAGGAACGGCACTGGGATTATTTGAAAGAGCTTGGTGGCATAACTTCTGACACCACAGCAGTTGGCATAGCTTCCAGCAACACAGCAGGACAAAAGTCACCAGAGCACTACAAACTGGCAGATGTGTGAGATATAGATATAGATATATTTAATACACACATATATGTATATACACACATATACACACTCCCTGTCACCCAGTCCATTTTGACTGATAGTTGCCTTATATGACAGAGTAGAACTGCCCTGTGGGTTTCTGAGCCTGTACGTTTTACGAGATTACAGAGCCTCGTCTTTCTCCATGGAGCAGCTGGTGGTTTTGAACTGCTGACTTTTGTGTTAGCAGCCCAACACACAACCCAGTACACTGCCAGGATTTCTTAACAGGTGGTGTAGATTATATTAAATAAAACATAGAGTAGAATATCAGCTGAAATGTTAATATAGTTAAGAAAAAGCAGGTCATGACACCTTAGTGCCTTTCTTAAACAATTCAGAATTTACATACCGTCATCCTGGTTGCCAAGTGAGGTAATGTTTTCGTGCACAGTGCCCTTGACAGAGCACATACCCATCAAGTTTATCGTCCTTCATGATCCTGTCGTGCTTGCCCACTTGCATCTCATATATAGAGATATTTCCAAAATATACCTGGATGATTTTTATTACTATATATTGCTATTTTCTTAAAAATCTACTTTGTTTTATTTAGCTTTGGTCGAAAGAGTAGGGCAAATATCAAGCATTTATCATTCATATGTTATACTCAGAAACATTCATCAAAGGTCAAGTTTTCTTTCAAAAGGACTTTTTCTATACGGACATTTTTAGTTATCCATCTCCAATTGATCATAAGTTTAGTGGAGAAACTGACCTCTGTGAACACATTTCCGGAGCCCTGGTGGTGCCGTCAGGTAATTATTGGAGTGCTAACTTCACGGCCAGTGGTGCAAACCCACCTGCCAGGCTGAGAGAGAAAGATGAAGCTGTTTGCTTCACAACACACAGACTCCAGGAACAGGAATGGGAGTAGTACTACCAGGAGGGCAGGGGGAAGGTGGGGAGAGGAGGGGAGGAAGGGGCAACCAATCGCAATGATTGACACCCTCCCCCCCAGGGGGACGAACAACAGATCCCTGAGGGAAGGGAGACAGCAGTCGGTGTAAGATATGAAAATAATAATAACTTATAATTTATCAAGGAGTCTTGAGGATGGGGCAGGAGAGGGAGGGAGAAAAGAGGAGCTGAGACCAAGAGCTCAGTAGAAAGTAAATATCTAGAAAATAATGATGGCAGCATATGTACAAATGTGCTTGATACAATTGATGTGTAGATTGTTATAAGAGCTGTAAGAGCCCCTATTAAAATGCTCTTTTAATTAAAAAAAAGAATTTAAAGTTTTGGAACTCCCTAAGGGCAGTTCTACTCTGTCCTAGAGGGTCGCTGTGAGTCGGACTTGACTTGATGGCAGGGCTTTGAGTAGACTTAAAAATTAAGTCAATTAAATATGGGGCAGGCCATTTTGGGAAAGAAATACACCTATTTACAATGCAGGTGTCTGAGTGGGCTTCAGAAGGTTTGGGGAAAATAGTTATTAACTTTTAATCCCACTCTTCCATGGAAAATTTTAAAGTTCCCTTGGATATCGTTTGAAAAGAATAAGATGCTGCATGTGATTTAAAATGCATTGTAAATTATATCATACTCTGAGTATCTTACAAAACACACTTATGTTCAACCTATTAGAGATTTGCCAGTGTTGAGACATAGTATTCTAATGCCTTTATTTTAATTTGGTATTTATTTCTATAAGGATACCTAGTAGTTACAGTGAGTAAGCATTCAACTCCAGACCCAAAGGTGGGTGCTTTGATCCCCCCAGTGGCTCCACGGGAAGAAGATGTGGCTGTCTGCTTCCAGGGAGTTAAAGCAAACAGGTAAACTAACACGGAAGCAAGCGCGCTCACGGTCAGTGAGTTGCTGATGACTCCTAAGGAGTCTACAGGCCAGGGTGGAAGTGCCTCTGAGTCTCTGAGACTGTCCAGTCCTTGCTGAAGCGCGCGGCCTCTCTTTCTCCAGTCCTCAGACCACTGGCTGTGGTTAGCACGGCGCGCACAGCCCACTGTGCCACGAGGGCTGCTTGGAAATCCTCTGGGTAGTTGACTCGGGCTTCTAGGGTTGGTGTGAGTTGAAATTGGTTCCACTGTGTGGTGGTTTATTTTCATAAACACACCAAAATGTGTGCACTCATTTTCTTGTGGATGGAAAGTTAGATTGTAGGTAATGTTTTACCATTGCAAGTGACCTTCCAATGAACACTTCTTCTTAAGTACAAGTGCCAGAATTTGTCTGGCTTAATAGAGCTAGAATTAGAAGTGCATTCCCAAGTATTACAGTATTTATATCGATTGATTCTAAACCAGCATATATGAGGCTTTCTCTTTTTCCTGTTTCCTCGCCAACACTTTGTCTTTTTTAGCATTGTTTTGTTTTCACTGTAGTTCCCCAATGACTAGTGAAGTTGAAGATCATTTCACATAATTATTTCTTATCTCAATTTCTCCTGAAAGAATTGTTGCTCATATTCTTTACATCCTTTCCATTTTATATTTTTTTCATTTCTTCAGATCATTAGCATATTTTTACCTTGGTTGGTAGAAGCTGGTAGGTGCCGGGTACCAGTCCTGTGTTTGGTTGTATGCACTGCAGATCGAGTCTCACGGTCTCTGGCTTGTTTCTTCCCTTTGCCAAGAGGGCATTTGTTATGCAGAGGGCTTACATTTACTGATATCTTCCTTTATGATTTGTGCCTTATTGAAGAACTTTCTTCCTTCATGTCAGAAGGATGTGTTCTTGCTTCTTTCCTGAAAGTGGGAAAAGTTTCATTTTTGAATTTATGTTTCTAGGGAACTAGGACTGGTTTTTACTTGTTATGTGGAATATTAATACCTACTTTATTTTTAATTTTGATCAGCTGTTTTTCTCAGCACCGTGTGTGACACGGTCGGTCCCTCTTTTGTGGGTGACATTTCCATGTGTTCGCAGTCCTCTCTGCCTTGGCTTACTGTGCTTAGTGCCTGATGGTTCTATGCACACATCTACCTGGTGATCCAGGTATCAAGCTCAGCCCTACATTTTTGTAATTGTTCTAGCTTTGTAATAATTATTTTTATTAGGTAGAATACACCTCCTCACCCTCTTTTTCTTAAACTTCTCTTTTTATTTTCGTTGACACTTGTTCTTCTATGTGAATTTTAGGATCACCTTTTTAAGTTCATGAAATCCTTGTTTGGTTATTGATTGGAGTTTCATGGAATTCATAACTACACTTGAAGAGCATGATCATCTTTATAATATTTAGTCCAACCAAGCGGATGGTATCTCTATTTAGATGTGTTATAATAATATTGTTATAAATATTATTATTAACATAATATTATTTGTTAATAATAATATTGGTTATTAAAATTGTTCAGGAAAACCAAACATTTTTTTTAATGCTTACCATGTAGCCAGCCTTGTGCAGAATTTTCTTACTAGATGTCAGAGTTGACTATAGTTTATGTATTTCCCATGTAGACTGTCATAATAGCTCCGAAGAGGTTGGTGTTTATTCCTTGTTAGCCTTTTTCTTCTCCTGATGTACTAGCTAGAACCTCCGGTCCATTGTTGACATGACAGGTGGCAATGTTGGACATCCAAGTTCTGCTCCCAATCTTAAGTTTCAACTCAACACCTGTTGTCATGAGGCTTTTGGCAAATATCTTTGACCAGTTAAGGGCATTTCCTTTTACCTGGTTCAGTGAGCATTTCTCATAGTTATAGCTACACCCTGTTTAAATGTCTACTCTGCATCTGTTAACAGATGATGTTATTTTTGTCTGAATGAGTGTGTTATGTTAAAGATACTCCAGCATTACCCTATCTTATTATTCCTGGGTAAGTGCTGTTTGCTTCAGATGCCTTTTTATTATTATCTTTCTCATTAATGAGAAGCTTGTTAATATATAATTTTATGATTTTTAGACACACATTTATGAATTCTATGACTTGAGAAGAGATAGATTCTTGAAATCCACACTTGGAGTTAAATATATTCATTATTTATACAACGTTCCACCTAAATACTGCTGACTGGATGCTCTTTTCAAGTGCTTTTGGGGTACTCATATGCTGGTGCATCATTCCCTGGGGAAAGAATGGCTCCTTCAGTGACTGATACTGGAACAAGTGCATTTTGCATGCAAAGGAATGAAGTAGGGCCCTTTCCTTACAAAATACATGAAGTTCACCCAAAATGGACTCTTAACCAAAACTAAAGAAGTAAAACCATAAAACGCTCTTGCCCTTATTTTACTTCATCCTTGGTAGTGGACAGACCTCAGACCACGACAACATGAAGTCCTTTATTCCCTTGGCAGTGAATTTAGTCAAAGATTCAGCATTTTCAAGATAGCAACCCTATTCTGAGCCTGTGAGTGCCTTTTTTTTGTGTGTGTGTGACAAAACTACATCCATTTTTCAGTTAGTCCTGTTGGCTCTGTCCTCCAACATTGTCTGTGTAACTGAGTGAGGACGTCTCACCACACGCGACAGCTGGCCCTGGCCATCACCAACCGCATTGTGAGAGTTTCTCTTAATTTCCTCTGTCCTTGCTTTGGATTTTCTTTTTCTTCTTGTTTCTTCTGCCTCGAATACTTCTCTTCTAAACCCCATGCCTTTTTCTCAGTGTTTTTGGTTTTTAAATGTTTCTTCAGGGAAATTTAAGATTGTAAATCCACCTTACTCCTATAGTATATTCTCTGATGGGCTCTGACTTAATATTCTCAATAGCACATCAGCATCATCTGATATACTATGTCCTTAGATGACTAACTTAGTTCCTGTATCTATCACATAGAATATTAGTTCCATGAGGCCATACATTTTTAATCTTAGATTTATTGTCACATCGGCAGGGCTTAGAAAAATGCCTGGGCCACTGAAGTCACCTCCATGTTATCTGGCAGTCGGATGACATTTGGAAATATGATCTATTGCATAATTCTGATGGTCAGATATAGGGATGTCCATGCATTCTTAGAAATGCAAAGCATTACCTTATTTAATGCACACAACAGATGTACAGGGGAGATATTACATAAAGAAAAGCAACACGAAGGAGTTGCGAAGGGTAAATCCAGTTATGAGCGAGGGTGTAGCACGGAGAGCGTGTGTTCCAGAGCAGGTGCTCGCTGTGGCTCCTTAGAGCAATGGGCTGAGCTTACAAATAGCCATTGCGCTTTAGTGTCAGAAGCAGTGTTTGACCTTCAGTAACACGTGATGCTACTTATTACCGGTGAGATTTAAATTTAAATTTTTGTGGACACAATGAAAATTTGCTTTCCTCCACATCCTTTTTATCAAATGTGAAAGAGGTTGACTTGTCTAGAGTGGTTTTCATTACAGAATTAGTAAAAATTCCTGAAAGTAGTAATAACCTCAATTGCAAAGAAAAAAAGTATATGTCTTGAAGCTGATGGGGGAATATAATTTAGTTATTAAATTTACTATTTTCGAGGAATTTTAATTATGCACAGATAGAATGTCAAAAAAGGAGCCCTGGCGGTGTCATAGTTACACATTGGGCTGCTATTTGCAAAGCCAGCAGTTTGAAACCACCAGCTACTTCGAAGAAGGAAGATGGGACTTTATACTTCCTTAAAGAGCTACCATTTTCAGAACTACACCAGGGCAGTTCTACCCTCTTCAGTAGTGTTGCTGTAAGTTGGTATCTACTTGCTGGTAGTGGGAATACTAAAAAGGCCTGCCTGTCTTGCTATCTATGGAATTTTATCTGGAAGAAAATTCACCAAAATATTAAGTGTATTTCTGTTTAATTGTAAGATTAGGGATGGCTTTTATTTTATTTTTTACTTTTGTAAAACTTCTAGAACTTCCTTTGTGACCATGTACTACTTTTATAATGATAGCAAAATAATAAATAAATATAATTTTCAAGGCATTCGGATTTCCTCCATATTTGACTATTGTTTCTTGAAGCCAACTGTGTCTGTTTTGCCAGTTTTGAAGTAGGCCACTCGTGTTTAATATAATGGGGTACAGTGTGTTTTCACCTAACTTTTGCCTCCCAAAGCAGCCTTTTAAAGTCCATCTGAGGATTCTGTTGTTCTCCCCACAGACAGCCTTTTGATTGATTATCAGTTTACCTTCAGCTTATTGCAGGAAGATGACCGCCACCATACCGCCATCAACTTCATAGCAAACCCAGAACAGGTGAGCCGAGTTCACTTGTCTCTTCTCCGGCCAGTCAGAGGACGTACTAACTGTTCTCTTCCGTTTCATTGACATTTCACCCTCTTCTCAGAATCAGCATCCTGTGGGACTTGTGTACAGAACCCTGGGATCTGGATTTTCTCTTCTTGTCATAAAACATAGGTATCCTTGAGGTTGGGAGAATCTGTGAATTCTGTATTTCAGATAGGTGATGCTGGTGGTCCCGTGACAAAAGTTCCGTGCAGGAGACCGGGGTTCAAGTCTCTCATGTGAAGTCACCATCCATCTGTTACTGGAGGTTCTCAGCTATGACTTGGACCAGCTCTGAGTGGAGCTTCCAGTTGAAGAGTAGGCAGGGAGACCTGCTAACTTCTGAAAAGTAGACATGAACAACCCTATGGGTCACAATGATCTAATTTGCACCTGACCTTCGGGTCGATGTGGGACCAGGCACCTTCCTCCTGTTCCCCTTCCCCATGGTGCATGGGGTCACCATGAGTCTGGCCACATCCTTGGCAGAAAGTAGCAATAATTGCATATCTAAGATACTGAAAATAGTCCTACAATTTCAAGTACACACTGTTCCTGCACAGTGCTATTGTTTATCTGGTTTATAACAGGATTTATGTTTATAAGAGTGCTCGCAAACTCCGTGTGGTCTGATTTGAAAATAGAACCCACGATTTCAAAACTTGCTGTGTTAAGTGTATTCCTTCTTCTTCTTGGTGTGAACACATCACGGAAGAAAAGACTCTGAGGTGGTCGAGAAGTAACACATATGAATTGCTATGTGTCTGAGACTTTATAAACCGTAAAAATAGCCTAGGGAATGCAAATCTGAACCATATCACTTATTTGCATGTCTTTTGAAACAAAAATTAACTCATTCAAAATGAGGAGCTGTGTTAAATGAGTATCCTTATTATGTATTAATCCACATCATCAAATCCACATTATTTCTAATATATTTTTAAATAGGTGCAGTCGTTAAATATATTCTAACATTTGCTGTTTCCTTTTAAAATATTTTATTGGGCTTTTGCTGATAGTCAAATTTCGTATATTTTAATTTTCTAGGAAAATAGAGTCTATAGCTATAGAAGACTTCATCTTATTTATATTCCCTAGATTTTAAGTCTATATTCTTAGGAATGCATTTAAAGTTTTGACTCTTAAATAAGGTTGTGCATACTTTCTATCAGCTACAGTTTTTTCAGCACTAACGTTCTGTGCTCTTATAAAGTTATATTAATAACCTGTTGGAAAGTACATTTGTCAGTATAATGACATTTTTAAAAGTGATTTATAATCATCATTGGCTTTTGATTGATTGATAATAATTCCAAACTGTAGGGTTCTTGGAGGCTATAAGAACAATCAATGCAATGGGGTGTCTGACAAAATATGGATGCGCGTAGCATCCCTCTGAGTAGTGTCCTGGTAAGAAGCCTAGGTGGCGCCGTGGTTAAGCAGATGGAATCCACTCAACAGCATAAGTTCACTGTCCTTAATGATGGCCCCACTGGTCTAGATGAGGATTTGTGTTTAGCTCTCCATTGACTGACCTTTTCTTCCAGTTCCAGAAATCTTGAGTGCTTCCAATGGTTCGAGCATTCAGTTTTGCTTCCTGCTCTCTTGCCAATGGAAGCCAAGAAATCAGATATACAAAGGGGCTTCAAAAGGTTTGGGGAGTCATTCCATTCTCTTTTAATTCCATTGTTTTCATGAGCTTTTTGAGGCCCCCTCATCTGCTCTTTAGTTGAGCAAGCTGAAGCATGCTAAACCACCATGAAAAATGAATCCTTAATAGCTTCATTTAGAATAATTCCCTTAATTAAAGAGATAATCATCTTCGAGCAACATCAATATTAATATGAATTACTTGCCAAGGTTTCCTAGTTATCTTTTAGGAATATGAGTGATAATAAAAATAATAATAAGAGGTAGACACCTTAATTCTACATTTCCTACATTTTGGTAACAGGTTTTATTCTAATCCACAATCCACAATCCACAATACAGTACTTTCTTAGGGACTGGTGTAGATGTCTGTATCATCTGACCTTGTCACACATTTCACACTTAAGCAAACAGCATTGTGTATGGTGCGTTTTATTGTCTGTTACATAAATAATCACTGCCAGCATCATCGATCTTACTACAGCATTTTCTCTTGTTTTAAATGCTTCTTATGGGACTTCAGTTATTACCCTCCATATTCCACTGATGCCTAGATTTGGATTTGGTAGAAGATGAACCAAACGCTCAAAAAGAGTTTTATGGTTTTTTTAAGCGATCATTGAAAACAGACGCAGCAGAACACACACCAGCAAACTCTACATGCATATTTCTGCGAATGCGGTTCCTTCTGGCTCTCCCTCCATTAGCAGGAACTCACTGCCCTCTAAACTCCCTCTCTGACCTTTTGAATGGCTGCTATCAGTTTGATCCCATATAGTTCTTCATGAGGGCACAGTGTTTAAGGCCAACGTTCTTTACTAACTCAGCCAAATTACTGTTGGATATAAAGAACACTTCAGAGAATACTTCTGATTTCACATTGAAAGATTATCTCTTGCCAACAGTATTGGAGGTTCATTCCGCCTCAGAGGCTCTAGAAATTCTGGGTTCAGGAAGAATTTGGAATCTAGTCTCCATTTTCCCCCATCTTGATGAGGAATCTGAAGCGCAGTGACCCTTACGTGATAACTGCCTGTCATCCCATGTGTGTATGGTAATTGTCCCTGTCATCCCATGTGTGTATGGTAATTGTTATTAAACTGTATTCTCTATCCATTAGCCTATTATTGATTCACAAAGCAAGCTTCTGTTCTCCATCTGAATTTACCAGACTTTCATTTCATGAAGAGAGTATATAACTGATATCTGTACTATTCAATGGAATATTGGCATTATGTGAGGCAGACGTCCTTAAACTACGGCCCACGGGCCACATGCGACCCGCCGAGGACATTTATCCGGCCCACCGGGTGTTTTTGCCTCGTTTTTTTATTTCAAAATAAGATATGTGCAGTGTGCATAGGAATTTGTTCATAGTTTGTTTTTAAACTATAGTCCGGCCCTCCAACGGGTCTGAGGGACAGTGAACTGGCCCCCTCTTTAAAAAGTTTGAGGACCCCTGATGTGAGGAATAATTAAGCCAACATTCTAAAAATATGCTACCGAATATAACTTGAATATTTCAACTGAAATTTTTCTTTTTTGATAGTCAAACAAAAACTTGGATATTTCAATTAATGCATCAAACAACTTTAATCTCAATATTACATGGTCCGTTGGTTCAACAGGTAAGAGAATTTTGGTATTACATCCTCTGCATATTTGCTCCTCTATGGAAGTCGTTTGAAGTTGACCAATTAATCTTAAGTTTAATAGTTAAAAAATTATATGTCATTGTGATTGTGGTATTATGGTTGAGATAATAAATTACAATATGAATAAAGATTTTATCACCTTATTAACTTCCTTATTCAATTAAAATTAGATGGGTAGCAAATATTGCACACTATTTAATTTTTTAAATGGCAGGGTGGTGGAATGCCATGATTTTAATTAAGATAGATTACTTCTTTAATGAGTAAAGAGGCTGAGATTTCAATTATTTGATTCAATTCTGAATCTATAAATTTAATTATTAACCATAATATTTATATCAAACAATGGCATTATTTTGTGTATACTGATAAAAGTAACCATTTATCTATTATTTTAAAATTTGGGAGCATAGCCTCTTTGTCAGCGTCGATGCTTAGAGGGGGAAAGACATTTATAAGTCTCCCACAATAAGCTTATAAATTAGAATTACTGACCATTTAAAGTACAAATGTGTATTGAATTATGAAAACATTGTGCTCACTTTCTATGCAATAGCTTGAGGGAATTCTATGATTTTTCCATACCAAAGATATGCTACTGCAGAAATAGACTGGAATATTTAGTTTCTTTTCAATTGTATTGAAAATATATGGATCCTTAGAGCTTATTTTTGACTTCTGGAGAATAAAAGGATTATGATATTTCAATATAGAGAATCAGGGGAAGATAGAATTCAAGGGCAAAGAGACCTTTTGAAATTCCACAACCTATATTACATCTGCAAATGCCAAAGCAACTTGGATGGAAGAGAAGAGTTCGGGCATCCTTGGGCATTTTGTCTGGGCTGCCAAGCAAACAGTAAACTCTTTGCAGTGCCAATCCATTAATTAAGAATTCATGCTGACTTCTCCTGGTATTTTGAAATTTATTTTGGTATAATAAACAGACTTTACAAGGGCTTCCAGACTTGCCTTAAAAATATATGTAAACAATTTTAGAATTGTTTATAATGTAGAACCCTAGTTTTTAGGTGGCAAAAAATCATTTGTAACATTCAGGTTCCCAGAACAAAGTGTCAGAAATATTGATTACTCAGGTAGAGGTTGGAGTTAGGGAATCTGCATTTTTTTTAAAGTTCCCAGGATAAGTTAGAATAGGTGAACATCTATGATTAGTCCAATTGCTCACTATACGGATTCTTAATTAACTTTAGTATTCATTAAAACAGTGGTATTCTAAGTTTATTGGAAATGTTTTGTTCCACTTGATTAGCTTCAGTAAACACTCACTGAGCACCCAATGTACATTTAACTAATTAAGCATTTAGCTCATGTTTTAAATTATGGCCCCTTCCCAATTTGTGTTAAGCAGGATGGTTTGATTTGTGGTAAGACAGACAAGTTGCTTTTGCTTCCATTTTGGATGGGATAGACTCACAAAACTGTGTTTTGAAGAGCTCTGTAGAGGTAAATGACAGAAAGCTCAGGTTGGGAGCCCTGCAGACCTGAATTCCAAACAGGAGTTTGACTACTTAGTGTCTATAAGTCTGGGGGCAACTGCTTCCATCTCTCGGAAGACTCAGCTTTCAATTTGAAAATAGATATGAAAGTATCTCCCAGGGAGCGTTATTATGATTAGAAAAGACAATAAAGTTTCTGTCCTACCACCTAGTCAACAGCACTTAATAATTGGTAGCATTTTTAAAGGGTATTTTTTATCTTAAATCAGTTTCTATGATTTTTATGGCAAATCTTTCATTCTTCCTCTGTCATTCTAAATTGTAAAAGTATGTGTATTTGGATAATTAGGTTTTTTCCCTGTGAAAATTTGAGTAGGTATAATACCTTTCATAAGCTTTTTTCTTTAAAGACCTGCTTCCTAGTGTGAATTATGTAAATTTGTTATTATTATTTGCATTTTAGCTGGAACAATATCTGGGGAAGAGACGCCTATCATCTCTAAGGCCAATATAAAGGAATACAGGGATAGTTTTTCCTATGAAAAATTTAATTTTAGAAGCAATCCCAACATTACATTCTATGTATACGTCAGCAACTTTTCCTGGCCTATTAAAATACAGGTAAGTGTTCATATTATTTCATCCTAATTGCTAGTGAGCTTTTTGTATTACCAAGGAAACTCTGTTTTTGTTCAAGTTGTGAGATAGATGCATTTCTTGGCTTGAAGGAAGCTAAAACGTGCTGTCTGTCGGCCAATTTACACATGTTATTTATTTATATCAGTTTCTATGTGATTCCTTGTGGAGAGATTGCTGCTTAGCAAAATCAGATGGTACTAGAAAAATTCTTGGCTCTTCTTGGGAAGGTTAATTTAACATCTAAACTAGAGTACACACTTAACTCTTCAAGAACTAGTAGTACAAATTACTATTCAGTATAGTTTATAATGAGAATTTATATGAGAAATAAGTATATGTCTTCATTACATAAAGACTGGTTTAGACGGTGATACAGTTAATAGACTCCCGTGTATCTCTGTATCATTTGATTCAATTTCACCATTGAAGATGATAGAGGTCTCATTCTATTTTCAAAGACTCATACAGTTCAGACGTCCATTAGTTTATGCAACTTCTTATTGAAGGAGGGGAAAACAGGGTTCAGGTAAAGCGTTTGGTGGTGGTGGTGGGTCAGGTTGGTTCTGACTAGAATGATCCTTACCTGGAACAGAGTGAAGCGCTGGCCAGTCCTGGACCTTTCTCACTACTGCTGGGATGTTGGAGCCGATTGTTGCATCCACTCTATCAACCCATCCATCGAAGGCCTTCTTCCTTTCAACTGACCTTCTGCTTTACCAAGCATGATGGCTTTTTCTAGGGCCTGGCTCCTCGGGGTAGCACGCCCAAAGTAGGCGAGGCAAAGTCTCTCTTCCTTGCTTCCAAGGTGCTTGCTCTTTGTACTTCTTTCAAGACAGATTATTTATTCTCCCTGCAGTCCGTAGTAGATTCATTGTTCTTCCCAACCACATCCTGTAAAAGCTCAGTTCTCCTTCAGTCTTTCTTATTCCTTGTCCAGCTTTCAGATGCGTATGAGGTAATTTAAAATGTGAGGTTGTTATAAAATCATAGAAACCTTTATTAAAAGATAAACAAAACGCGGAGCCATTGTTTCTCGACTTAGAGGTCCATCCGCTCCTGAAGATGGCGTTTCCATCTATTTAACCCTTCCAGGAAGAATGATTTACTTTTCGTTTTTATACAAAGTCCACAAGGCAGTTTGGGAATCCTGTATTCCCTTCAAATGTTACTGGAGTTTGGGCAACAAAAAGAAATCTGATGGGGTAATATAAAGGCTGTAGAATGGATGGGGCAAGGTTTCTCACTGAAATCCTCATAGGACAGCCCTGGCTGTCCCTGTAAAATGAACAGGTACGGTACATTGTCCCGATGGACAAAAAATCCTATGGTGCAACTATCATGGCTTTTCTCCCCCGCCAATGCAGTTGCCAATTTTCTTAAAACCTCTCTTATTATCTATCCTGTGTCCTTTGAGAGAACTTACCAAGACTACCCTATTGAGGTCACATAAAATCAGTTTCCAAACATTCTCAACTGAACCTCTGCCTTGAAAATCATTGGCTCCTCAGATCTCTTCAGAAGCCACTAGTTTAATTGGATCTTTGTTTTAATTTTTTTTTCTGAAGGCACCCTATGGAGATTGAGGCAAGTAAATTACTGAGAGAACTTACCTTCAGCTATTCAGGGAGCACAGAGACCTATCCAAGCTGTTTGTGTGAAATACGTTGGTGCATGCAGGAGCTGAAACCTCCGAAGCAATTCTTTTTGACTTACCTTCCTGCCTTGGCTTGGATCAGCTTCACCTAAGTCCTCAAAGCCACGTCTTTGCTTTGAACACTTTAAAGAGGTCTCTGGTAGTTGCTTCTCCCAACGCAATATGTCTTTTGATTTTTTGGCTCATTTGCATTCATGGGCATTGATTGTCGATTGTGGATCCAAGTAAAATGCAAGCCTTGACAGTGTCGATATATTCTCTATCATTCCTGTACTTTTGGCCCCATTTTGAGGATTAAAAAAAAAATGTTGATGTGTAAGCTATCGTCTTTGTTCTTTATAAGTGCTTCAAATCTTCATTGCTTTCATCAAGCAAGGTTATGCTGTTTGAGTATCACAACTTGTTCATGAGTCAGCCTCTGTCTTAAGCTGATTTCTATCAAGAAGAAAAAATATATCTATATAGATTCAGATTTATATCAAGACAGTGACTCATACAGTTGTAGAAGTGGGTGCATCCAATCCGATTTCAAGCTTGTGGGTCAAGCTGAAGGCATCCCCTGACTGGGGCAGTCTTGGGGCTAACAAGCCTAGGATTGGCTACATCCCAGGCTGCAGAGGTGAATGAATTCAAGGTCAGCACATCAGGCAGGTCAGAGTACAGGCTGTTAATGGTTCCTGGGATCTGCAGACAGGTGGTTGGCTCAAGTCCAAAGAATCAGAGGTTGATAAACCAGATGAAGGATCCAGAGCCAGCAGCAAGCAAGCAAGATTTCCACACCGTCTTTTTAGATATACAGGAAGTAGGCCACAGCTCCAGGGAAACCTCCTTTCAGTTGTGTCAGGCCTGTGACAGATACCTTAATCTTCTTTCAGCTACGTGGCTGCTCACAGAGGATCTCCTTCTGGAGTTGAGTGTGTATGTTCTGTTAGTTCACGTCATAAGGGATTATTAGACCTCAGCTTCCAAATCACTGCGCAATCCTATCCATCCATGTGGACACAAAAGCCAGCTCTCACGTCCTCCAGCCCTGATGCTGTGTTCTTCTTCATACGGTCTCGTTTCGTGGGTCATATATGCGCAGCACACACAGTGACTCAGAGTGGTGAAAGGATCCAACCCTGACACATACCTTTTCGGATCAAGCATGCAACATTCTTTTGTTCTGAAATTTGGTGTAATTTTTGTATTGCTTAAATTGTTTTTTGCCCGTTTATTTCTTGGTTAGCTAATTATATTTTATGTTTTAGTAAATTACATGATTACTTTAGAATTTTCATGAATATTTCATTGTTAGAAATTAACTCTCTCAATTAGGTTTTCTTTTTAGATCATACCAGTAATATATTCTGCAAACCAAATCAGAATTTGTGTTATGTTATAGAAATACACTATTATCGGAAAATATAGAAATATAATTGCAGTGGTCATTCAAATTAGATCCTAATTCCTACTCTTTGAAATAACTTATGCACACATTCATCTTCAGCGTTTATGTGGGGAAGGTGGTCACACAATGATGGTTTTTGTTCTCTGGTGTCTGCTACCTGATCCCTTCAACACCT